CGAACCTGATCAGAATGTCCAGACTAGGGCCGACGATGACTAGGACTTCATCAATGTCACTGTACTCACCCTTCTCATCGATCAGGATAGCCATTGCCTTCCCTCGGCTCGATGCTAGTCTGCATGAATAAGACCATTGCTCATCTTGCCTTATCTGATCGGTGGGCTTGCCGACTTTACCATGACCTTTGGGGATGGTCTGGGATTTCCGGCTGCACTTCACGAAGTCCTTCTTCACGTACGTCTGAATGCAAGTCTTAGACTCGTCGACTCGTACCTTCTTCTTGACGACATTCGATGCAACCTTGTGGAATGTCCCTTCGTCATCACTCCATTCATGGACAAGTGCAGGAGTAGCCTTTGAGCTTGGTGCTTCGGTGTTCGGAGCAGTGTTGAAGAGATGAGGATCGTGACGTTTGTTGCATTTGTCTCCGTATCGGCACTTGCCCTTGGCCCAGTGCCAGCATGGTTCATCAATCTTCTTGGTCTTGTTCGCTGGAGATTGACTTCTCGGAGTTCCTGGCTTTCGACCATTACCTTTCGTGTTCTTGTTCGCATCAAACACCTTTTGGTCGTGACTGTACTCACAATCTTTTCCTTTTCTGCATGCTTTCTTGATGAAGTGGAAATGACATGGGATCTTCTTCTTGGATCTAGGACTAGCACTTCGGCTATTTGGTCGTCCGTTTCCTTTCCCTTGACCTTTCCCTTTTCCTTTTGCATGCTGTTTTGGTTGAGGTGATGGTAGAACTGGAGCTGCCTCAGCCTTGGCCTTCGCTTTAGGTGCCGCCTTCTCCTTGGGAGTGGCTTTAGCCTTCGCCTTTGGATTGGCATCTGGTGCAGCAGCAGTTGGATTTGGTGCAGGAGTAGTGGGTTTGCCACCACCTGCAAAGTCTCTTGCGTACTTCTCTCTTGCGGCCACATGCTTGTCTTCTCTGATCCTGGATATGTGCCTTTCGATGACGTCCAACAGGTAACGATAGCTTCGTCTTTGATCTCCTTCAATCCATGATTCGTACTGCTTGATGTCGAACATCATGAGACTCGAATTTCGAATCTTCTTGTATAAAGCGTCACGAAGCCAATCATCAGGAGGTACATCATCCGGCATCATATTTGACACCATCTCCATCCACTTCTCGTAGAACACTTCCAGGTTGGAGTCACCGAGATACTTCATCGATACGATGTGCTCCATGGTGAAGGCTGTCTCTCGTTGACCTGGTGTCCTGAAGTGTTCCAGAATCATAGCCAAAATTTCTCGTCCCATAACGTAGGTCCCTCTTCGACTATGACTCTGTGTTCTCAATCTCAGTTTGATTGCTACATGACGAGCAACATCACCGGCTTGGGCTATCACGTTCGACAATGCGATTGACAACTTGGCGTCGATTGACTGATAGCGTTGCCCACCACTGTCATTCAGTAGCTCGATGTCAGGATTTGGCCGAATAGCCGGCTGTAACCATGCTTCCCATGCAGCTTTGTCTCCATCATTCGCGGCGAGAACAACACCCTTGATGAGATCTGACTGCCAAACCCCAAGGTTCTGTTGCTTCGGCCATGGGCTAACATAGACTTTGTCAGCCTCCCGCCTTGACATTCTCGGTACTTCTTCTGCCGTGTACGCCGCTGTGGAGGTATCATCTGCTGAATCGCGTTGTGATCCCCGAACTGAAGGCAAACCAGGAGGTTCTGGAGGTGGTCCTGGACCGTTGGGCCCGAAAGGATCAGGAGGCCCATCAGGGTCAGGCGGACCGCCCCATCCGCCTGGAGGCTTGTAATAGTCCTTCTCAGTCCCATCGGCGATCTTGTTGTCAACTTCTTTCAGCAGATCGGTGATTCTTTTGTTCGATTGGGACGGTTGCTGTTGCGAAGATCCAGCATGTCCGCGATAGGATTGAGCAGCATTTGTCTCGTAGGTCAACTCCTTGTCGATCTGCGATACCCAAGATTTTAGGATAGAGTTCTCAGAGTTAGCCTCACTCACCTCATTCTCCAGTTTATCGATGACCAGTCTTGATGCGAGATCATAGTTGGGGATACCTGTCGAATAGGGAAGCGTATCAGGGTTGACCCTGGACATAGATGTTTCAGAATCCTTGAGACTCTTTCTCAGTTCGTCTATGCGACGTTTCATATCAATAATCTCAGAATTCTTGATACCAATCTTTTCATCCCTATCCTGAATTTCCCCCATGAACGTGTATGATCTCTCATATTGCTGAATACCACTAGCCAATTTCATTTTGCGCTCGCTTTCTAGTTCAGATCTTAAAGCTCGGACTTCAGCATTGGAGAAGGACGACGCCCCTACATCCGCAACTTCAGTCAATCTTTCAACAACATGTTCTCCTGTAAACATTCATGGACTTCATGGTCTAGATCCTGAACCCTGATTTGAGCGATTTTGGCTTGGTTCCGTAGATCTTCAACAAGCATCTCATCAGGGCCACGACCGTCGATCGTAGTGCCCTGAGTTAATGATCTTCGCAACTTCACGTTCTGCAATTTGATCTCATCCTTCAATTCACAGTTCATCTCCTGCTCGTTGGCGTAGAGCTCTTCATAGTGCTCGGCCCTCGCGATCGCATTTGCACTAGCCTGTGATTCAAGCCTCAGGTGTGATATCGCTTCGGCCTCGTGGTTCCTGTATGATGCAATTCTTCTGACAGTATCATGTTCAGTGTTTCGGTGTTTCAGATCGCTTTCCAATTTGGCCTGATTTGCCTCGAAAACCTTCTTTCTAGATTCTCTGGTGATCTCTTCAATACTGCTTTCATACAACTCGGCCTGTTTACGAGACTGAACTAGAGCTTCACTTAGTAGCTGATTCCGTTCAGACAATTCATGAACTGCAATTGATTGTTGTTGGCTAATCATTTCAAGTTGATTGCTTGAGAAGGATGCCATTTCGGATCGATTACGATATTCCATGATTGAGTTCTGGAAATCCGTCTGCATTTCTTGACCTTCAGTGTACAATCGGTTGGCAATATCGGTAGTTAAGACATTGGTCTGATGAAGTTGTTGCAGTCTTGCCTCCGTATTACCCAATAGTCCTTGAAGGTGATGTACTTCATCCTTGTACTCTTCCTGGATCTCCATACCGCGTTGATGGATCCGTCTTGCACCGTGTTCCATCAGGGCACCTCGGCGTTCAAGGTCTTGGATGCGTATTGTTGCACCTTCGTCTTCCTGAGATGCTACCATTAGTTCTGCTTGATACTCTGCAACCTCATTTGCGGAACACGACAATCTATGATTGAGTGCATTGACCTCATCAAACACATTCTGGTTGTGTTCCTGAAGATATTCAGTGAATCTGATCTCGATGTCATGAATCAGCTGATCTCTTGATGCAGCATATGCTTCCATATTGCTCAACTGATTACGTAAGGATTGACATTGTGCCCGTAGTTCTTCTATCATGGCAATAGGTTCACTAGCCACAGAAGTATCCGTTGATCTCCGCTTAACGCGAGTGTCCCCGGTCCTCTCACCAATTCGGTCGGTTCCGGCCCTGGTGGATCTGTCCCTTGGGGTAGTTCGTCCTCGAGATGGTCGATGCCCTTGGCGGACAACATCACTTCGAGCACTGTTTCGAGAAGATCTTGGTGTACTTTGGGTGGACATTCTTCGTCTGTTTGATGTGACTTGCCATCCGGACTGTGTAGTTCGGGTAGAGCGTATCCCACCACTGTCTGCTGTGTCGCCAGGGGAAGCTTGAGTGACCTCCTCGACCGGCATAGCAGCGTTCTCGTTGAAGGTAAACTGCGTGTTGCGCGAGTCCCCGCTGCCGCCCTGCATCTTTGCGATGATGAGCTGATTGGTCCTTTGCGTCCACAATCTTAAGCTCTGACGGCCCGGCTACCAGCACGCAGGTACTCCTCTTCCGACGGAAGAAGTGAGCCCTTACGGCTGATAACCTGTGAACAATTTTGATCCTTGTTCCCGGATATCTGATTGCTGTTGTTGGAGTCCCTAACGTTCCAGTAGCCGGAGCCCAGGCAGCATAGCTGAGCGGCGCAAACACTGTTTTCCCTTGCGACTTGAGCCAAATATTTGGCGTCATGTCAGGCCTACTCCACATGCTTATACATGTGTGCAGTACCGCTTAGTTCCCTTTAGCAATATATATACTGGTTGGTGGTTGACCTACCCCTCTGAAAAATGATGGACTTAAAGTCAGTTGGGATGACATGACATCCCCAATATATGGAAAGTCATAAAATTCCATGGTTCCAAACCACCAACATGTTTCATATGGAATCTTTATTTCTACCATGATTTAAGGATTCCCTAGTGAATCTGGTGAATCAGCCGAATAATGGACGCTACAGTAAGCCACCAGATGTGCAAAGGCGTAAGGGGCTCCACTCACCCTGGAATCCAACAAAGTTCGAGTGGCAATTTCAACAAAGTTCGACGATGAAAATAGGGTGGCGTCCAATTTTTTTTGTAGGCCATGAATGACCACGATTCACGGCGGGGTTGTGTCAATGAGGTCGTTTTCAGTCGCCGAAGAGTGCGAATATTGCCAGTTGCAGTACCTTTTTGTCAGTGCCTTTATGCTTTTCACATGCCGCGATTCATCGGTATATACACATCTTCATCAAATGTTGAACCAGGATAATGGCTATCAGTTGAGAATCCTTAAACCCTGCAACTAATGTAGACAGCGCCATAATCCATTGGAATCCGTACGCGAGATGGCAATAAGCCCCAAAAAAAGGGTTGATGGGGATTGTATGATCTGGATGACTAGCAATTTTAACCAAAAAAAAAATCTGGTGGGTCAACATTCAAGACCCTTCAAGAGATGTCATGTTTCTATCTGGTTGGTGGTTTCAACCCCTCTGAAAAATATTAGTCAATGGGAAGGATTATCCCATATATTATGGAAAATAAAAAATGTTCCAAACCACCAACCAGCTATAGTATTCTATAGTAAAATCTATAGGGCCTGCATTTGGAAAAAAATCAGACCAACGGCCCACCTGTGGTCCGGCGCGGGATTTGGCATACATGGAAGACACCTGGGATCCGGCGCAGGCTGTCCCTATAGACTCTGTCCTGTGACCGTTTGAGGCTGCAAGGCCAAGGCAGAATCACATTTCAGATGATGGCATGTTAGTTCTGTAACTTGTGTTAACATCATATTCTGAATCCGTATTTCCTGCTGTTTTGATCTGTTTTGTTAGTTTTGTTCACAGACAAGTTGATGGCATAAACGTTACCAGAGGCACCTTCAAACCCGCCTCAAACGTAGCGGGCCTATCGCGTTCGTGTCAAACCCGCCGACGCCCCAGGGGGCCCCAGGGGGCCCCAGGGGGCCCCAGGGGGCCCAGGGGGCACCTTCTCTTTCATCACCTCACTACTCAGAAAGTCGAAGACTGTTTTGCCTGGCTGTAGGGATTGGATGGGGTCAGACGGTCTGTTTGGATGAAAATTGATGTGGATTTCTGGAGAACTCAACGACTCAACGGACTGTCCGTTGGATTTGTAAGGGGCGCACATGTAAAAATTACGGAGCAAATCGTGCTACATGCATGTACATTAGGGATAGGGAGCTTCGTATAAGGTTAGGGGTGATGATGTAGATGAAGAATAAGATGACGAGTAAGATGAAGATGAAGATTAAGATGAAGATGACGAGGAGTAGTGAGAAGGACAAAGAATTCCCATTCTCACCAGTACTCCGTTCGTTTCGCATTCCGCAGCATTGCTTCGCACGCTCGGAACCCCAAACAGAACAGACACCTCGGCTGTCACGTTGAAAGGGATCCGCTCCGAAGTATAGCCTCGGTGATGTTGGACAAGAATCAAACGGAACTGGGAAAATAATGAGTTGTCCTGTCGTCCTCAGCAAAAGCAGCAGCTGCCTCAACTGCCTCAACTTTCGCCAGAAAGCAGCGATTCCATCATCAAGAGGATTTCAACATGTTTCAACAATATCAAGGGGTATCAGGCTGGTATCAGATGGTATCAACAGGTCCAAGGCTTAGATTCTTCACAGCTACGAGTACCAACGTGCTTGGATCGCTCCTGGACACCATCACTCGACATTCAGTAGCCAGGCAGCAAGAGGCAGATCATATGCCAATCCTTGTCTCGCGCAGCCTCCAAAATAGGATATGAGCCTCGCAAGGAAACAATTTGGCCCCCAAAATCATCCGTAAAAGCGGATTGATTTTGTTCCATGCCACCAAGGCGTGGTTCCGAAGAAATATGAGTCACAAGCTTTTGATCGGGGATGCTATATACGTTTGGATACGTTTGGATGGTATACGGATCAACTGCGGGAAAAGCCATCATCTGTCAATCAATGTGTCAATCCATCTGTCCATCTGCCAAGAAACGCCAGCAAAAGAAGCTCTTCTTCTCCGCATTCACATCGAGATCAAACTTCCTTTGCTTCAACCAACTGATGACCATCTCCCTGGCGGAGACGCGGCTTGAGAGCTGCCAGGTGAAGTGGATTATAACATTAATTACCAGTAATTAGATAACATTGAAGATTAAATTGTGGATTATCACTATAGAATATAATATGATTAGATATTAGATTCTCATAGATTATCCATGTTTTGCTGCCAGGGTATCTGCCAAATGACCAGTTTTCATCGTTTTCATCCCAAAAGCCACCGGAAAAACCGATCTGGATGCCAACCGCTCACATTGAAGTCCATAGATAGAAAGTGCTTCTGAAAGTGCTTATGAAAGTGGATCAACAAATGGTCAAACTATGGTCACTGCAGCTGTTGATCGTCGCCTGTCTCGTTGGAGGAGCTGCTGACACCTCAGCGGTCCGAAAACGGATGTTTGAACAGGTGCAAGTTCCATGAAATGAGGAGAAATCTGGGTGTGCTATGGAATATCATGTTTATAATACCTTATAATATATATATATAAGGTACAATGACATACATATACAGTTTGTATGGATATACATAGTGAATATATTTACAATCATTAGTAGATTTTTTCAAGAAATATATATATATACACACTGCATGATGTAACAAACTTTCGCCTTTTCAAGATGAAGGATCCCACTCGTCGAACGGCGATCAGCATCGGCTATGTTGGTAAGGAAACCATGGTTTTTTGATGTTTTTTGGGTGCCCAAACTGGAAGAAGGAAGCCAAGCCCTTCCCTTGACATGAGTTCCCCAAGACCCAAAGTGTGGCTGTCGAAGTTGGTCACTTCTTCGAGCCGCCAAAAGGCTCAGACAATCCTAATCTCAGCCCCAGAAATGTGGTCACATTTCTGGTCACATTTAATCATCAAAAGTCCATAAGAGTCCCACAATGAGAGCGTGAACAAGTTTGAGCCGTTCCCGGTGCCCTGGGAGAAATCCTGTCTTGGGGCCGTGCTGTCGTGCTTGTCGTGCAGTTTCTTTCGCTTCCTGATCGTCAGGGGACCAGATGAAATCATCACGAATGGGGAAATGCTGAAACCGTCCTAAAACATCACTATTGAAAATGGACATAGAAATAGTGAGTTTTCCCATGAAAAATGGTGATTTTCCATAGTTAGTTTATAGATGATGAACATACCTGGCTGGTGGTGCAATAACCATCTTGAAAAATATGAGTTCGTCAATGGGAAGGATGACATCCCATGTATTATGGAATATAAAAAATGTGTGAAACCAGCAACCAGATACATGTTCAGTTTTGAACCAAGTATTGTTTGATTTCTTTGTATGAAACCAAACAACACTTGCTTGGATAAATCGCAGCCAGTCAGCCAGTTGGGGTCCAGCAGATTGCACTCACAAACATACAATACTAACAACAGAATGGGAATGAGTTATGGGCATTTGGTGCTTCCAGTTCAGCAATGATCCACATATCAACCGATAAAGGAATGGAAGTATGAACCAGCATCAGAAAGTAATCGTGGCTTAACCAAAACATGGACTCGTCATATCGAAACATGAGCATACATATCAAATTTAAGAGGCATCTAGAACATGAACCACTGCAAAAAAAATGTGTCTCGACATGTCTCGACCATAAAAAGATATGAACGTATAAGCAATTGCTGGTTGTCATACGAAAATCCACCATTCTAGTGTTCCCCTACGAACAATGATGCATCAAATGGTGCATTTTCACGAGTTTGGGGAAACAGCCTAATATGGACCTCGGAACAACTGGGCAATCCATTGGAAAGAATGGAAGATGTGAAACCTTACCCAACTTTTAAGTTATGGGCGATTCGGCTTAACGATCCAGAATCACTTTCATTCGATCAGTATCTCTATTGCTTAGATCTCCACTTGCTTGGTCGTAGCCACGGTCCCTTGATTCACAGAAAATTCACCCAATTGCAGCAATAGTTAGACAGAATACTCAGAAGGGGGACTAAATACTGTTCTCCAGAAAATCGGAACCCTCCCAGGGTGTATCTCTGAGTATTTTCACAGAAAGCCTGTGATTTTTTGAAATTCCCTCAGCATCACACGAATGGGTCAGGCTTCGGGCAGTTCGGGTCCTTTTTTTGCCCAGAGAAAACCGTCCCGGTTCCGGGCCATCCTTCTCCATGGTCTTCTTCTTGATGGCCCGAAATCGTTCTGAGACCATCTTGTCTCCTCCAATTTGAATCGCTGAAATGCTGGGATCAAACGATGACTGGTTTAAGATTCCATGGCTGATTTTTTGACTTCGCTGGTCCCGGGTTGAGCCTGAATTTAGCTCAAAGCATTCAAGACTCAGGGCGAAATCTTTTCTTTTAAGGGGGAGAAATCTGGAATATCTGGAATCTATTGCAGGAACCATTCTTGGGGGGCGCAAACATGTTGAACAGGCCGGTATGGTTCAAAATCAGGATGCCCCTGAAATTGGATACGTTTGGGGTAAATTTCTGGTTTGAAACACCTGCTTTCCATGGGCTATCCAATGGCTTGATGCGCACCAGATTTACCAGGCGACAGTTCTAACACTCGTGGATACCAGTGGGCAAGGGTCAAAGTTGAAGTGCGATTGATTGATACTTGGACGGTCCGGACGGTTGATATTTTAGTGATGTGTTTAGTATCAACCAGCCATCCTTATGGAAAAAACATAGACTTTGACCCATCCAAAAGCATCCTATAAATATTGATAAATCGTGATACTTGGCAGGTAAAAGTTCCATTTTTGATGCATTAAATGTCAATATTGTAAATCCATCAATCATAGAATTGGATGATGGGAAAATTTACAGGAAAGCCCTATAATTGATGGTAAAAACCATGGTTTCTTTATCCCTGATGTCCGATTCTGCCACTCAAAAAGCGTTCTGAAAAAGATCGCTCGCCTTTGAGGCAGCTCACCACGTCATCTTCACAAACCTATGGCCATGACATCGCCGGGAGTGAGAAATGGGAAAAGATCTACAGGAAGTGTCGAGAAATTGGGGATTTGCATGGATTTAGCTTCAATCTGAGACTCAATCTGCCACACGGCCATGGATTTCTTTAACATTTTTACTTTAGATCCGCCGGCCTGCTGGCGTGTCTTGTGGATCTTGCTTGTTCGTAGTTGTACTCTCTATCTAGTCTTTTGTCTTTGTCTCGATTTCCCCTTGGCGCGTTTTTGTTCCGTCGTTTCTTATATCCAATACTTATTATACTTGATATAGGTGGTCTGTCCATCCACTAGCTTTTGCGCGGAACTCCTTTTACACGCGCAACCTTTCTATACATGGCCTTTTCCAAAACCCTGGTTTACACACTCAAGCTTTTGTTTAAACTTAAACCGTGGTTTACGTAAAACTGTGTTTTGCGTGAAAACCCGTGTTTTGCGTGAAAACCATGGTTTACACAAAACACAGTTTTACACAAAAACAATGTTATACACAAAACCCATGATTTATACAAAAACCATGTTCTTTGCTCCTGTGCAAGCGCTGTTTGCAACTTGCAGGATAGCTCTTTCAGGGTACCTACTTCTCAATAATGGATGATGGTTGGAAACCCAGCCTCCATGATACATCCTGTATTGTTTATCATATTCTCCAATAAGGGACCCCAAAAACCATGAATAGATCCAGCAGGGACGATTCAAAGGAAACTCAGAACTATTAAAATCTCTGTTCTGAATTGCCATGAAATATCATGAAATATCATGAAATGTGGTAAGACGTCGTGAGGCCCACATTTCATAACGCTAAAGTTGGTGAATTTGATCCAATGATTCCATGCTACCAAGCCGTCCTTGGCAAAACCATAGCTTCACAGTTGCCCATAGCAGGGGCAAAATGGGAATAGAAAAATTCATAGAAATAGTGAGTTTTCCCATGAAACATGGTGATTTTCCATAGTTATGTTAGGTTATAGATGATGAACATATCTGGTGGTGCAATAACCATCTTGAAAAATATGAGTCAATGGGAAGGATGACATCCCATATATGAAATGGAAAATAAAAGTCATGTTTGAAACACCCAACCAGATCAATAGCCAACATGAATGGGGATCTGGGTTTCGATAAATTACTGTGAAATTCACGCGTTAAATTGGAATTTAACCATCACTATGGGGATGTCACCATGAAACGGTTCACGCGTTCACATGTAGTTCCCCTAGGTCAATGCAGTATCACTTGCTCCTGTACGACCAAGGGATCCAAAGAACAAATTGAAAAGGAAGAAAAACGACCGTGACAGTCACGAGATTCACCTTGCCAGTCCCACTGAAACTGGGGGGTTGAAGGAGTTCACCAACATCATGTCTCAGGCGCCAAGGCACCAATCGGCATCGGCCACCAATTTGATGAAAGGAGATATTGGTCAGAAGACCATTCACTGCTGCAGCTGAGACCTTGGACTACAGAGGATACAGAAACAGATGACAGGTCGACGTAGAAAATCCGAATCGCATGTCACAATTCTGGATGATTCATAGTTTTCGTCACGTATGGCAACCCAAAAAAAGATAGAGAAGGACAATCCATGGACAAAACTCGTGGGAAATGGAAGCTGTTCTATCTTTTTGCAGATGACTATACATATATATATATATGTATGTATGATGTAAGTATTATATATATATATATTTATTATTTATTCCAAATCTGGCTGCAACTGATCAGATCAAGACTTGGGATCCACGTTCCAACTGAGTACCTCGGCCATCCCTCCGGGGCCGGAAATCCGTTCGCGGGATCCCCAGGACAAAGGCCGCCGTTGTGATTGGTACGTAGGCGGCGCTACGTGCCACGCAACGGCTCGAGGCGTGGCGGTTTTTCGTTGCGGTGCTGGTGGTGACTGGGGCTGGTTGGGATCCCAAAATGGTGACGACTTGGACGACTTGGATTGACCAAAAGATCTACCCGGCCTGGTAAACGTACAAAAAATGACTTTACTTCGTGTGATCCCCACCATGACATTTATACATGTTCTTACTGGCAAATCTTCTGGCATTCTATCTGGCATATCTTCTGGCATTCTATCTGACATATCTTCTGACATTCTATTTGGCATTCTATCTGGCATATCTTCTGGCATATGTTCTGACATATCTTCTGGCAAATCTTCTGGCATTCTATCTGACATATCTTCTGACATTCTATTTGGCATTCTATCTGGCATATCTTCTGGCATATGTTCTGACATATCTTCTGGCAAATCTTCTGGCATTCTATCTGACATATCTTCTGGCATTCTATCTGGCATTCTGTCTGGCATATCTTCTGACATTCTTTCTGGCATTCTATCTGGCATATCTTCTGACATTCTTCCCGTTGAGGTCCGGCAGTGCCCACTGCGATCTGGAAGTCGCGGTTGAGGTCCAGCAGTGCCCACTGCGATCTGGAGCTCGCGGTTGAGGTCCGGCAGTGCCCACTGGGATCTGGAGCTCGTGGTTGAGGTCCGGCAGTGCCCACTGCGACCTGGAAGTCGCGGTTGAGGTCCGGCAGTGCCCACTGGGATCTGGAGCTCGCGAGGAGGAGGCGGCGGGTGAGGCGGCGGAGGAGGCGGAGGAGGCGGAGGTGGAGGCGGAGGAGGAGGAGGAGAACAGCTCTGATAAAATCTAACAACCCTCACCTGGCAGGTGGGGAACTATGGAAAGATCATGAAAGATCCACCATTTTATAGCTGGGTAAATCAACTATTTCGACTGGGCCATGGCTTCAATAGCTATGTAACAAATTACCAGAAGATCTACAGTAAGTGGCCAAAAAAAATCCACCCATTGCTGTGGACTCCCCAAGACACTTGGCTTATCCTGAATCCCAAAGACTGATTTCGCAACGGCTTGAAAGGGTTGAAATGGGTATCACCGTGAGAAACCCACAGTTGTATTATATAGTCAAGATTGATGTCAGGCTGCCCTAGAGGTCCCAGGGTTGATCCTCAAATGGTGCCCTTCAAAGAAATCATCGGCAGGTCAGACAGTGATGCAAACATGTTGGGTTCCATGAAGGGTATGGCCTGTCAAAAAAAACCAATGGTCGAGGTGGATTTGTGTCATCCATTTTCTGATCAGTAAGTTTGGTCAGAAAATCCCAAGATGACAAATTCTATGGTTTGAGATCACCTTATTTTTTGGGGGGCACAAATTTAAAGCCCAGCACTCCCACGTGTTTTTCGGGGCCACTCCGCAAAAAACACCCACCACCGAAAACCCAACCTTTTCTTCGAACCACATAGGGGTGAGACGGAAGCCATGCGTTTTTTTCTAAAACTCAATGGTCTTGGTGTTTGCTTCTCTGGCGGAAAGAACCTATTTGGGCATGAGTCAAAATTGATCAGAATTGGGCACACCAAAATTGGGTGGTCGAATCCTACAACTGCCAAGAGTCTGTCTCTAAAATGTTGACTCATACACAATTCAAGACGCTTCTTACCTATTGATGACTTGGCCAGCACATGGCCCTGCCGTGGATTTTCTGGGATGGACGAGGCCATTAAAACCAGATGCCAAAATCAACTATTTGGGGTGGACATCAACCATGTACCCAACTTGATGTGGTTCATGATTTTTCCCACTTTCTGTGAAATGATTCAATAAACCATTCGCCGATTGAGTACAAACCATTGTAATTATACTCAACCCGAAGAATTCATCATTGATTTTTATCAAAAATATCTCAGAATACAAAAAAAACATCTCAGAAAACATTAGAATCCTAAGAAAATATCTATAAAAGTATCTGTATATATATATATATATATTATATATATAATTATATCATATTATAAAACGATATAAAACGATCGAAAAATTGGGTTCATCACATTCCAATCCACAGTATGTTCCACCCATCATTCCTTTTCCTTCGCCCTCGCGGCCTGACACGGAAGAGGTTTGTCTGGATATGAATGGGGATTAAATGGTGATTTAATCGGGTTAAATGGGATCAATTAAATGGGATTTGATGGGCAACTTGATGTTTTATATTTGGGGTTGAACATGTTGGGACATGTTCTACAACAATTGGAAATGGTGGGAAAATGCTCGGAATCCAGTTTAGATGGCTTGAAGCCACTATTCCCATCCTGTCGGGGAAAACCTAAACATTGAAGGCCCGAGAATCCAGTTTGAGGCTGGAACCCTTGATTGGACCCGTCAACACCACGATTTTCCCGCTTCCGCTTCCGCAAGGCTTGGTGAAAAACTGGAACGGTGCTGGTGGTGAAGGCCACCGGAAACAGCATCCATCAGGTCACTGCGCCGCGGCCTCGGCAGAGTTAACATATAGAAAGGTAAAGAGGTCCGGAATTGTTTGATGTGTTTTTTCCGTTTTGGCTTTCCCCCAAACCAGGTGAGGGTCTCTGGACTTTATCAGAGTTACTTCCTTCCTCCTTCTCTCCTCCTTCCTCCCGAGCTCCAGATCTCAGTGGGCACTGCTGGACCTCAACCGCGAGATCCAGGTCCGGCAGTGCCACTATCAGAGAGAATGTCAGAATTGAATAGATGCCGGATAGAGTGCCAGAATAGAATGTCAGAATGTCAGAAAATATATGCCATATATACTTCCAGATGAGATGTCGGAAACTATGACAAAACTTTGTCACGGTGGGGATCACAAGTAAAGTAATTGTTCTTTTTGACTTCCTCGTATTTCCTCTTCTGTTTGTTTTCCTTGCGATTTGCAGCATTTTGGAGCTGGAAGCTGCCACTTCAACGGTATTTGCGATTGCAAACCTCTTGTTTTCCATGGTATTTGATGGTATTTGCAACATTTTGGTGCTCGAACTGGTCACGTCTCATTCTATTCTGCAACTAGGGCTCATGTAGGGTTGGTTTAGGGTTTATTTAAGGTTGGTTTGGAGTTGGTTTACGCTTTATTTAGTTGAGGGTTGGTTTTAGGGTTGGTTTAGGTCTTCTTCAGGGTTGGTTTTAGGGTTGGTTTTATGGTTTTTGAAGGGTTTGTTTAGGGTTTATTTAGGGTTTATTGAGGGCTGGGTTTGGGTTAATTTAGGGTTGGTTCATGATTCAGGGTTGGTTCAGGAATTATTTAGGGGGTTGTTTATTGGTTTAAGCTAACCTTTGGGTTGGTTTGGGATCTATTTAAGGTAGGGTTTATTTAGGTATTTAGTTTTCGGGGGGATTTGGTGTCGGGTCTATTGGGGGTTGCTTTAGGGCTGGTTTAGGGCTGCGCTAGGGTTTAGTTATAAAATTAGTGTTTCTTGGGGGTTGTTCAAGCTTGAGAAGCAAAAAAAAAAGGAAAAAACAGAGAAGCAGAAAAACCGAGAAGCTGAGAAGCAGAAAAGCAAAGAAGCAGGGAAAAGCAGAAAGGCAGAGAAGCAGGGAAACATACGTTTTTTAAAAGAAACGAAGCGGGCCTATGTTGTTCCCCACCTGCCAGGTGAGGGTTGCTAGATTTTAACAGAGCTCTTCTCCTCCTCCTCCTCCGCCTCCTCCGCCTCCTCTGCCTCCTCCGCCTCCTCACCCGCCGCCTCCTCCTCGCAGTCCAGATCCCAGTGGGCACAGCCGGACCTCCACCGCGAGCTCCAGATCCCAGTGGGCACTGCCGGACCTCAACCGCGAGTTGCAAATCGCAGTGGGCACTGCCGGACCTCAACCGCGACTTCCAGGTCGCAGTGGGCACTGCCGGACCTCAACGGGAAGAATGTCAGAAAAGATGCCAGAAAGAATGTCAGAAGATATGTCAGATAGAATGTCAGAAGATATGCCAGATAGAATGCCAGAAAAAATGTCAGAAGATATGTCAGATAGAATGCCAGAAGATTTGCCAGTAAGAAAATGTATAAATGTCATGTGGGGGATCACACGAAGTAAAGTAATTGTTTTTTCTGGGAGTACTATAGACTCTCCAGTCAGACCCAGCCAAAAGACCCAGTACATTTCCAGAAATGCCCAAGTGTCGGAAACGCCCGCAGCCCGCAGCAAGCGGCTTGCTGGGAAGTCCTTGCAGGAAATCACCAGCGACGGTGATTTCACGGTTTGATCTGCTATCTTAAGGGGGTGTCTGCGGGAATGTGAACGAAAAAAATGGGGATGCTAACCAACAAAACTTGGGAATATGAACCAACAATAATCTGGTTGATGGCGCAAGATGGCGCAAAGTGGGGACATTAAGCAACAACAATTGCGCAAAAAACCAATGGTGAAAGGTTTCAACCCCCTGTGAAAATACTAAAGTCGATTGAAACATTTTGCATATCCAACCACTTCGTGAGAAAGCGAGTCACCGCCCCCTTTTTTGGGCAAAACTCTTCCTGATCACCTTACCTCCCTCCAAGAGCAGGATGGTTCCTAAACATCGCCTGCATGACTTGAAGATCATTGTCCGTTACAAAGTACTAACCACGTACACCCCTCCAACCTCCAACCATCCAATTCTGAAGTGTTTTCCTTTCGTGCATCTTCCATCCGTCTTGGCACGAGGATTGCATTTTGGGGCACAGCTTCCCGAGCCCCACAGGAAAGAAAGATGCTCCTGATGGCATCCGTCGGGGCAGCGGTTGAACCGATTTTACGCGAGCCACACCACGTCTGTTCCCCGCTCGCGGCAAGAGGACAAAATGGGACAAATACAGTAATCAAATCGAAACAAAACATTCACATATCTTCAAATCATCACACAACTACCATCATGGCCATCACCCTCATGCGCATCTGAATCAGGATCAAGCGAGCAATTTGAACACTGTACACACGGTTGGCTCGCTGAGATTGCTGGAGAGCTGCATCAAGTGTCACCAAGTGTCACTTGGCAGCCCGTCTGTACATCCCCGAACGTTGACCTCCACCGCAGGTTTTTCAACAAACCGAACAA